GGTCAATTCGCAATTACAACGATTGCCTTTGACGTGCACGGACGTAGTAGGCGTTCGTGCACGTCAAAGTACGTAAGGTAACGGGTAAGTGTTGTTACTCATTGATGACTTTTCCGCTTCGAACCGAGACCAGGCTCAATATTGGTTAACTATATATATACACGATTTGTTAGCATTGAAGTTTACACACGTTGTTAACTACAGATAATAGTCATGAGCACTGAAATTCGCCTGCAAGGAAGAATTTCTTTCACTTCAAACAGCTTTCTCATAAAATAATAATAAAAAAAATCAGTCCACATGCTAGCAAAATATTTTCCTGTGTTGATTTTAATTCCCAAAAATTATTCTTATATATTTCGTACGACGATTCTGTCTTACGAATTTCGGATATAAGGTTGCCATATACATAGGAAAGAACAAAACCCATTTATTCCAGAAAGCCGGTCGCCATAAGCTAAACGGGAACGTAGGAAGGTAAACAGCAGCGTATCAGGACGTATTTGAGGATTTTTTGTCACAGAACACAAAGGAAATCTGGGGTTATTCATATAAACAATTTTGCTGGCAAATCCCCAATTCGTCTTCACCTGCATAGTTAGCGTAGGTGCCAATGATCTGGCAGTTGGTTGACACTAACTGAAGCTAAAACGTCGTCTTCTGATCCTCAGTGGATTCGCTGTTGTATGAACATGCGAATCCACCGTTTCCAACTTTTTAACCAAAATAGAAATATGAGCAAACAATAGACTCTTTCTCAATTTTGTCGGAAGCCATGAAACCTAGTGTAGCTAGAATTGATGCTGTGTCTGCGGCCCAGTCATATGGGTTAAGGCGAACGTAAAAGATCTACGATAACATTATTTTATATTTGAAGTTTAAGAAATATCAACATTAATGGCCTTGTTTACCTCAACCTCACATGTTATCCTAATTGTCGAATAAATTTGGTATAAGACAAAGCATAAAGTCCTCCAGACTAAATTCGATTTAAAAATCACGCAAAGTTGTTTCCGCTCGAGGTTTAGCCTCTGAGGATAATTGATGCTTTTCAAGTTGAAGAGAATAGACCGCAATTAATGTACGCCAACACTGAAACTAGACCGTGATCTATACCATCCATTGCTTAAGGTATTTGCCGACTTGGCCTGGGCAGCGAATAACGATAGGAATTATCGTAAAGGTAAGGAACTCGATTCCTTCGAATTGTTTGCTTTACGGCAATCGTAATGCTGGGCTTTATAGATGCTTCGATGGCACTAACGGAAGTGGGTCATACTGATGGACAATCATGTCGTCTGATAAAACTTCACAAACATTTGGAATAAAAGCGTAGCCAATGCTATATAAATACCTATATAAGTAAAATAATTATATGTACAAATAGTTAACCTACAATTTTTTTAGTATAAAATTCCTCCCTTTGAGTGTTTTTTGTTTACAATGGAATTTAACAAACGTGTTCTCCGATTTTTTTTATTTATAAGCCTCTCCACTGACGATCGGTTTCATTCGTCTACGAGTCTAATATAATTTCATCCAAGCGAATCGTATCTCGGGTTCAGGCTTCAAAAACAAATGTCCTAAGCAAAAGCAGTGCAATTTCGACGTCCCTTCAGATTGCCCGAACAAATAGGCCTTAAAATTTTATTAAAAATGACAAAAATTACCCTAGCGAAACGCGTTACAGAACATGGCTTTTTATCGCCCTCCAGCATCTCGCTACTGGAAACACGCAGCCATAATGGCAGATTGTTAGGAATGGGCTTTTTTCACGAACCTGGAAAGATCTATACTTGTTTAGGTGTCCTTGAACAAGAAGATACTTAAATCCTAAGAGTGCTTGCTTCAGTGTGGAAGTAAATTACAGTATGTTATAGGTATACGTTTCTTCGTTCATATTTTATGAAATCGACATTAATTCCACTCACTTTATTCGAATAACTTCTGTGTTATTAACAGTGACATGAAACCCCGTTTGCGACATCACAAACAAGCCCTCTCAACTACTGCCATAAAATCGGAATATGTGTAGTTCTACTGGCCTCCATTGATACGGTATTCTTAACTCGGGTAACTTTATAGAGATGAAAGTCGAATTGAAACAAAGTTTTTTTTCTACGCATCTCATTAGAACAAAACAAAAAGTTATCGCAACCCGAACAGTTTTCAAGTCGCTCCTGTTGACAGCAAAAAGACGACTAAGGCTAACTAGATTCTCCTAGCTGGCGCATTAATCTTTACTCTTAAGAAACACCTTATGAGCAAAAGGCTTTAGACCTGCCAGCATTAGCTAGCTAAATTAGAATTAGATATGTACAATACTAGCGTGTCCGTAGTGAAGTATCAAAACGATTACTCTCTATCCTATTCTACCGTGCTTCAGATAGAAAAGCCATCTATGATAACAGGCGTGTTTCGAAGATATTTTCCGAATGAGATCGACAAAAATATTACCGGTTGAGTAGATGTTCGATTAAACTGCTTTTGTTAAATATAGTAGTATTAGACAAACCTGAATATCTCGTGCGTAACGTCTTGCCAGATTTAAAAAGTTGGTAATTATCGACCTCAGAAGTAAATGCCGACCTAGCACGTTAACGGTAATTACCAGCCCATGGTGGCAATATACGCTAAAGTAAGCTAGGCGACATCTTTGCGTGACTCGGACTTTCCATTCCGCGCTTACCACTCTGTGCAGCATCGCAACACACAAAGCTCGCTCACACATATACAACTACTGCTATAACCATCTAATGTTGGGTACAGTAGAAAGAATTTTCTGAAATTTGTTTCCAATAGATTTTTAGATCGAACAATAGCACTCATAGCACTTGCCATGAGGAACTCCAATTTGTCTAATTGTAGGTCGAGCTAATACGCCTATAATAAGCTAATAACAAGTTAACAGCAGATCGTACGTTGCCGCATAGGCTTTAGCTATCGAGAACAAACACAGAAGCGAAGGCTGACTTCTATAAGGCAACAATTATGTTCTACTGTTCTGCGCGGAGATATTGAAAAGTTAATGAAATAGGATAGGTGACTTCTGAGTAGAAACTCACGTTCTCAATATTACTACGTTGCTAGGTGTATTTACGCTAAAAATTTCGAACGATATTTAAGCCACCTGTATCGGCTGTATCACGCGATAGTTCGCTTCAATGCCCTGCAAATACATGAGACTCAGTTCAATGCAATTTCAAAACAAGCAAGAAAGACGTTGTGCTAATGCAGTTTCTGTGTCACGGTATCATGTCGGCCGTCATATTTACCAACTGTTTGCTGTTCCAAGGGCAAGCCTTCGAGAACTAAAGTGTTCCGGAGGTTGCTAGATAAATTCATGGTGATCCGTGTATATTTAGTTGTTTGGTCTTAAGTATGTCGGAACAAGAAACGCCCACTTCGTGAGAGCTGGAACGCAAATTATCGTTTAAATATAAAAGTCATAATTTTACTAACATAACTACAGAACAATTGCGACAATAATAAGTATCTTTATAAGCAGACAAGGGTGATTATTTCTCGTATTCCGATGCGAACCATCGTGTAACGGTTAATTGCGATCGATCATTAAAGTTATACGTTCTATTAACGTTGTAGATACGGCAGCAACTGACACAGGCCCCATTTAATTGTCGCTATGGAGAGCCATCTACAATTGATATTCTAGACGAGTATTGATTGCTGCTTAGACCTTAGTCCAGTAAAGCCTGCCATGTTAACGCGGGGGGCCTTTTTCTGCATGATAATTACACTTTGAATCACCACACGTTTGTCTGATTAAGCCTGTCATCAGCAGATCGGGTTTTGTCGGCTAATTACTAACGGACACGTATGACGTTAGTTCCGATAGGCCCGGCTCATAGAAGTCTGCCTTGAACTCCCAATTAACGTAATTAGAGAAGATGCAGCTTTGCGTACGGTTTCTTATAACTATTATGAAATGGCACTTTAAGACTATCCTGTAGCATCTTAGTTAATTGATTTGCACTACAAAAAAAAGTATTGAAAGATTCCCAAGCGTGCAATTACTTCGTGATATTCTGCGATTGGTAATACCTTATCTCTATGCATGCAGCATTTAATTTAACAGTGAAAGGTTAAGTTACAAAACTCATTTAACTTTCCAGATTCCATAACAATGTGTGCGTGTGGTTAAATTTAAGTTATAAACAAGTTTTTTAATATGTGCATTAAGAGCTAGCCAACGAGCTAGTAGTAGTTTCTCGCATGTTACTTACAATGTGGCAGCAACTGTTCACGCACACGTACATTCATTCATTCATTCAGCTATCGTTTAGTGCCTATTACTAGGCCGTCATATCCTACTATGTCATCAGATTCGATCGAATCAGCTCATCAGATCGAAAAAAGCATGTTTACCTTTCCATAAGAATTAACGCTGTTTCATCGTGTATTCGAGACGGGCTACGCTCCAAACCCTTGAGAATCGTCCTTTTCCACAACCAAGTACAATGAACTACCGAAGTTTATTGAAATTGTCGTTATATTTTTGGTACGGTGAATGGATGTCTCAACAGCTAGATAAGATGGCATGGCGCCCGACATTAGTGGGACGTAACTATGTTCCAACGACAGAAACCCTCGTAACAACAACGATCGAGATATTACGCGTTCGTTTCTCGATTACTTTTAGATGATTCGCACGTTTACCGTTGGTCTTTTAATGGCACTCATCATTGTTTGTGGCTCACGAGATGCTTCTAAGCTTTATATTTCATAAGTTTCACACATTTCATCAATTTTCCGTTTTACTTTTGCTGAAACGCAATGCATTTTACGGCAAAAAACGATTGGCTACAACAGCGTCCATATTTCTATGAGACACAGCTTCTTTTTTCGTGCCATCGTTTTTTCCATTAGCTTGCCAGGGTAAACGTAAGCGAAGATAGTATTCGGCCAGGAATTGTAGGCGAAAAAAAAAAAATGGAAGATTTGATACTGCCAATTTGATTCATTTCCGTAGCTTTGAAGCACTTCGTTATTTTCACCGTTTCGAACTACTCACGTCAAAACCGACCGTTGAAAGGACCGCGCCAATGGTAAACGAAGTAAAGAACCAACAAAAAGCAACCGACCTATTTAGAACTGCGCAATCTCTGCCGGTCCGCCTCTTCGTGTAATTCGAAATTATGATTTGAAGTAGTTTGTAGAAATTAAGCGATCGCAAGTGCCTTGTAGAGATATCGAATACCATTGAAAAAAATTATAGTTCGACCAATCTGACAGCGGAACCAAGAAATGCTAGTCAAGGCTGTAATATTTCATCGTTTCGCCCATGCATATCGATAAAAATGTTACAAATGTAAACATAATTATAGGGTTCGTATATGCTTACCAGTACATATTGCCGAGATAGTCATTTGGATCATCTAACGACTACACTTAAGCTGAAATTAACATAGTGAAATGTTCTCGATAAATTCTGGCTGTTAAGGCACTAGCGGGTGCGCGAAGTAAGAACGACTAGTCTGATACTGTAGTATGTGGAAGTTCAGCGATGGGGCTAGAAATTACGCGTTAAAACCAGGGAGTGGCTTTATTTACGTGTCCGTGCGGATTTAACACAAGTAAACGTTTAGAACGGAGCTTATGACCCCCCCCCCCCCCCTGGCTGGAGCAATATCCGTCATAATGACAATAACAGTATTGACAATGACTAGCCGATCTGGTTTAGACAGGTAGGTGGCGTATTTCCGCACATATACATTTTATATAAAATGAAGGTTATAATAAAGTATAGAAATACCTCTGAGATTCCACAATTTGGATTTGCTTTCACGCGAAAAAATACGCTTTTCTAACTCGAGCCTTGTTGTGTCTATCAAGTGGTCGTTTACAGAGAGGCCTGAATAGCTAGCTTCTGGAAAATAACAAAAAAATTCGCTCTTAGTTTGTTCATAGAGTATTTGGGCCTTTGCATGAAGGTCGCTTACCACAAAAGGCCAGTGACGGGCTGACGGATTTGATTTAAAATATGGGATGGCTGCCTCTACTAATTAAGTTCCTTAAGTTGTCACTGTTATATCATGTCACTGCGTAGAATTGTATAGAACCTCTTCTGGAATAGCAATGGCTTTTCCTAACTCAATGAAGTATGATATAGCATATTGACTCAAATAATAGCACATTTTTTAGACGCTATCTGTCCTAATAGCATGGACTGATCGTAGCTCTTCGCTGAATCTCAAGGCTTATAATGTGATACCGAAACAGGTTACACGATACAGTAAAGCTTTATTTCGGGAATAATATATTGGCTTGATTAATCATTTCAATAGCCGGTACGTGCGAGTCGTCCATTCTTCCTTTCAATACAAAATCAGACGCTATCGAGCAGTTATTACGTGCGACAACAGTGAAACTTACAGAAAACATCTTATGCAGCTATTTCTCCTTTTTGTAATGAAGTTGACACTTCTATAGTAGAACGCTGTCGTTCCTTTATTTTGTCTGTTCCTTTCAGACGATTCATAATTAAAGGTTCTTAGAGATCTTCATCATGCATATTAAAAAAAAATCCTGTCGTTATAATGCTACCAGCAGAAGTTAGCAGCTGAGGAAGGCGAGTAAGGCCGAAATCGAAAACTTCAGAGTGCTGTTCAGATGCAATGAAACTGAGTATTATATGCGAGCGTCGCGAAGATGCGTCGAGTGCTGGTTACCGTTGGAATTTGAAATAATCTTCTGGGTCGAGGCATCTCGCACGTGTCTAATTCAGGTAGTAACTTTCTGCTCTTTACCGCAATCGTGCACTTAAATAGAAGAAAACTGTAAAATAATCATATTTTACTCACAGATAGGTTTTTAAGTCGACTTGTTATGTACCTTATTTGCTTACCAATGCTCTCCTGTTAGCTCTCACAATTAATCTTCCGTCGAAGGATAAAAATAGATTACATCTAGATGAAGAGTAGTTCGCAGTTTTGTGCTTTCATAAGTAATGAACTGGATTGACCCATCGACCCCTGAAAAAACATAATGAACCCATTAATTGACAGATTGTTCTCTTCATAAAACAACCTTTAAGTAAATTAATTATATCACTGTGAAGTGAAGCTGTGCCAGCGCAAGCTGCTCATTGTTTGTCCTTTACTCCTTCTCAAAAGCAGGTTGAGTAGCCATATACGTACGTATGATCAGGGACGAAAGGCTTGTTCCTAGCAGTGTGTTAATAGCAGGATTTTTGAGAATTTCAGGAAAGGCCCTGGCGAGGCTCTCTAATAAAGTGTTATCGACCGCACATTCCTATTGGGGCTATGAAAATTACCCGATACGTATAAAGACAGATTTCGAAAAATACTTCGATTGGTTATCCCGAGCGAGGATATTCCCCGTGAACGGGCCAAGACAGCTGAACGCCCTTATCAACATGTTCGTTTCAGTTATTTTCAATATGGCGGAATCTTCAATTGTACTTCATGTCGTGCCTTGGTACGAGGACTCTGGAAGCAGACGTACATTTTATTCCTTCTCTGATCAGTTGAAATAAAGAGGTGAAGTATTGTTGTGTTTGTGCGACTGAAATGCCAGATAGCCCTCGAATGGGGGGTATTGTGGTACCATATTTTTTGGACCTTGCCCGGACGTGACGTAATCATGTGTCGTTTTTTCTCTGCAGGAAAAAAGAGCGGCAACTTCCATTCTAATCTAATATGTTTAACCTGATATAACTAATGGCAGGTTACAATTACTGGACCCCCATCAAGGTATCGTTGTGACTCGTCTGCGTCTAAGGCTCACCGCTTCCTTCCTTCACAACCATCTAGCTCAGCTATGAAAAGAGGAATGTACTTTGAGTGCCAATAGTTTTAATGCCTGCATAAGTTAGTGCAAGTGACATTCGATCGTGGTTTAAGCTGTCGGAGATAAGCATTTTTAGTAGCCCATAATCCCTCCATTAGGGTCTCATGTTTGCGTGGTGCCTGACAGTGTTAACTGCGCCAACATTCCCGTTGTCATCTGTTTCAAAACGATATGGTTGGACACCGGTTGGATAGGAAGTTCACGCCGTACTAGACTTTACGGTAGCTAGAACAGTCCAAGTGTTTTGTTGTATCGGATGAGTTTTTGTAACCTTCTGAGTAGTCTTTATAGCTGCTTTTCTGCAAAATATTACAAATTGGGATTCCGTTTCTGAATATGTACTAAGGTCTTGTAGAAATAAACGTCGGCACACGGATTGTTAGTAGGTCATAGAAGCCCCCATTGTATATTCATTAGTTTAACGTATGCGCTAAAAATGAAACGTAACTCATGCTAGTGGGACATCCAAGTGAAGTACTGCTTCTGAATTAAATATAATTCTGCTGGCTTGAATCGATTATCAAGCGACGCCTTCTTTCAGATATATCCCCACAAGTAAAGCTTCTTTCAGCATAACAGATAGTTACCACCTAACGCAAACTATGGATCATCAAATATTCTTTGTGCACCAATCCCTTCTTGACCGTTGGCGGGTGATGTAAATCTAGCACCTCAAAGATTTATGTTTCATTCTCTGTTGTCGTCTGATCGTACAGATTTCTGTAAAAGACTCTACGAAACAGAAAATCATTCTAGGCTAAATCGGAAATATATCTAACAATTATATATAACGTACACGATTGGATTAGCAGTTCTCATGCAGTGTTGTTTTGTGGTTAAGTAAAATCGTCTTGTGGCAATACATTTACATCGCTAATAACCTTATTGTAACTTTGTCAGGCCGTGATAATCCTGTACCACTTTTCCCCTGACCGTTCTTCATGTTTATTGGTACGCTACTGAATTAGTTTCGCCAGTATTAAGCAGACACACCAGCAGTGTTGAGCTTTAAGATAACAGCTTATGTTATACGCACAAAAGCACAATTAACGCTTAGAACAGTCTTATGAACCTGCTACCGGAAATTATGTGTGTCAGGTGCAGCCTGATGTCCTCAGACCTCTACTCCTGATCAGATTCGATGGAATCATTTTATAGAGCGTGAATGACTTTTGAACCAAATTAGAGTTCTCGAGAGCGCTAATTTTCTCTTTTGAAAATGGCTACGTTGAATGACTACGGAAGTTACTGCGTAACTGACAACAATATTTTCGAATTTTGAATTGAAATTTCAGAGTGTTCATAATCTCCCGCCAAACGCATTCAGTGAAAGGATGGCATGCACGAGCTGAAGTTTAATCTGTGTAATTCTACTTGGCTCAACCTCTCCAACGAAACTTATATATACTCTATGGCTGGCATCGTAACAGAAAAGCGGCTGCCATGATACTAAATGGAGACCGCTGTAAAAAAAACATGCTAAATGCATGCCACTGGAGATGTTTCAGCATTATATATTCTAGTTATTATATACCAATTGTATTAAACTGATATATTCTACCGCAATGTAATGTTGTTACTGAAGCGAGGTGCTTTATGATACGCTTCGGTCATTAGGTGACATGTCCGACGAGACAACAACATGCAATCCTTGTTTCATCATTGTCTCGCCAGAATACGTTAAGGCATATACCTGCAAACATTTAGGTAAAATAACAGGAGAATACCTGTTAATGGACGTGTCGAAATAGCATGGCTTCAACGGATTGTGCACATTTGTTGTTGTTTTTGTCATCTGTGTTCAATGATGTAATGGTGACTGTTTTTTTATAAAACGGTTTTTTTTCATCGTTATTAGATTTAAACTCCGTACTATTTTACGACACGTTTTCACACCATCTCGCTTTTATATCGCCTGTACATAGTTGCCGTGTTTGGGAGAAATGACGCAAAATAGATTTGTGGCGGGAAAAAAATCGCATCTAGGTTGATCTTGCTTACCAGTAACTGCATGTCAAGCGTGGGCGACATGGAGCAGGGCAAGTTTCAACGACAGAGGTCTCTTAACGAACACAAGCACAGATCTCACAATAGTTCCTGTTTCTGATTGATCAATGATGAAGGCTGTCTATTCCAGGGACGTCGAGCGATAACAATCCACTGAATAGGTGGACACCCAAAAAATGTATATGAAAATTAGTTTATACAAGAGGTCCGTTCTTAACACGAATTCAGGTCAATTGTAAAACTGAAAATAAGCGCACGATCATTAGCTTTGTTCTAGTACAGCTTCCACTTTTAACAATAGTCTTACTTAACTAGCGAATGTGTTTTTCATTTGGTATATAACAGTACTACTCCTGATACAATGTGGTTCCAGTCGATCGATTTCACAATCAACTCGTTTCTAGTTGTTTATCATAGTAGAAATATGCTTGTGCTTTACTTGCTAACACAATTCAAATTTGATAAAGTGCTTGCTCACATGATTGTTTGTGTCAAGCAGGACGATTTTCATCACTACTCTCTTTCTCCAACTTGCGCTCCGACGCGCTGAACTCCACCACAGTGGCCTCGTCGTTTGCATTTGTGTCCGCACTGCCTCACTTCCAGGCCTGTTTCAGCTCTAGCCGCTCCGCCTTGCTGACGGGTGTTGGTGCTCGCGGTCAGCGGGAGAGGGAACCAATCCGGTACTGAAGGTAGAGAAACGAAAGCCGAGCTAGGTTGGTCGAGTCTTGTTGACCTAAGGCTAGACCGTCAGAGAACCGGATAGATTAGGCGCAACAAGTGGAGAGAGAAGTCTAGGAGGCTGAAAAAGCGGAAAAGGAGGAGGGAGTTTTTCCCTCTTGCTCGTTTCACTCCCTCATCATTCAGTTCATATACAGCGGCGACGGAGACGGCAAAAGCGCTAGCAGTGGCTTTGACGCTATTCCCTGGAATCCCACAAGATCTCCCTCAATGGACTATAGCTAAGGGGACTCGAACAGCCCACATAGGGCGTGCTACTAGGGATTATCTGATCTCGGTCGAGATCCGGTCGCCCGCCAGCCCAGTTGCTCCTCAGCGTAACTAGATCCACACTACCCGGGCTATCGCCTCCACTGCTGCAGCCGGTACGCCCGTCTTTTTGCGGTCGGGTCAAATTGGGCCCAAAGGCCTTGACGGCGTTTCGGAGTTTGTTGGCTACTATTATCACTAAGCTGCTACTACTACTGTTTTCATATATGCGCCTCCCACGTTCCTTGGTTTCCGCAACGTTTCGAAAAGGAAATGGGGGTGAGGTACTGCAAGACTAGCTTCAATTTCAGCTTCCGTGGTCTAGCTAAGTCAATAAGTGGCCTGTTGCACGGCCTCCATATGGAATCGATCCCTATTTTCATCCCCTTTCCAAGTAGAGATATTCACACAACCATGCCCGTCTATGCTCGCCTCAGCGTGAAACGTCTACCAACTCAGCTGGAGTCTAGCAAGCAATAGCAGCGGGTCGGAAGAAAGTATGGTCCACAGTTGCAATTATCGCATTTAGAACGAGCCACATATGGCTCGTTGGCTGAGAACGATAGACGAACAGGCGGCGCACTGGCACTGACACTGGCGCGACACGGTCGGGTCCTAACGGGATTCTAGTTGGGTTTGCCTACAACAGAGGCGCCACAGCAGCGGCAGCGACGTCTCGCGAGGTCGAGCAAACTGACTGGAGGCACTAGTGTCCTCGCTTATTGCAGGAAGTGGCGTGGCATAGGTTGGCCTTGCCGCAAGCCATTGGGGCGTACTTTCATATCAAAAGATATCGACCCTTTTAAGTAAAATGAAAGAACCAAAAAAAGCAGCAGAAATGATGACGCCGGAGAGCTTAGCTGCCGGGTTAGGCGTTAAAAACGCATGTGTTTTTGATTGAGGTCGGTCAATTAGAGATCAGCTAAGCTAGCCGACTGTACACAAGTCGGTGGAATGGTCTTGCAGCTTCCAGGAACTATTGTCGTCACGATAAAGTTCTCAGACCCAGCTCAGACCTTTTTCAGACTCAGCGCCTTGTAACGTTTCCATAATAATCTCATCGGCTGGGGATTGGCAAGGTACGTTTGATGGCATGTACGTGTAATGCTCAGTATGAAAGAGACTGAATGCATGAAAGAAGTATGTGAGATGCGACAGTACAATCAAATCCCTGTGCTATACATTGTTTTGTCTTTTGCATTCTAAGGTAAACAATATCGAAACGAAGCAAGCAGCACCTGCGTACAATAAAGTCGACTACCACGCAGAACAGACATCAACGATGGCGCATATCAAAATTGACAGCCACGTCGATGTCCTCGTAAACGTCACTGAGGCTGTTCAGGCGTTCTCATACGCTTCGGAGTGCGTTTTACCGAAGAAATTTTAAAAACAAGGAATCGACAATCTAACCTAGAAACTCAACCATTACAGCACTTTCGGCACGCCTGATTCAATTCGGGAACGATGTTCGTAACTTGAAAATGGTAAGATTCCCGTTCTTCTTATATATCTTGCTAGAACTGAATGCGATACAATCTAATGTATAAGAACGCTTGAAAAAGACAAAAATCTTTAAAATACCTATTGGTATGAGTGAAGACAAGGGAAGCAACAAGAGGCATAATATTCGATGGATACCGTTGCTATAGGATACGTTTCGTAGAAAAGCTGTTTAATAGAATAGTCGTCTATTGTATGTTATGTCGTTATGTTAAATGCATCCATAGTTGTGCTATAAGTGTGAAGACTAAGCAATTTATAAGCAGCTATTTATGTGCAATTTATTGGAACGTAAAGCTTATTTACAGACGATTACCCGCAGATTTAAAGCGGCACAAGAAGTCCTGTGCACAAAAAAACATTGGAAGGGGTGTTTGTCACGTGAACAACAACAACAACAATTATAGACGTGTCACAATGCTGTGGTGGCGTGGCAAAGATGTGGACGCGTTCATACGCACCATCTACCAATTTCACGCAAGGATCGTGATCCTCTTTCTACAGATACATTCGAAAACTTTTGAAGGAAGTTATTCCATTTTGTCGCTAAAAGATAACTTGTCGATATGCAGAGATATGTATATTTGAGTGTACTTTTTTATAGCACCTAGATATTAAACAATAAAGATTTAGGGTCCGCTTTTAACAAGAGTAACGAATACTGCTAGAGTAATTGAAATACCAACTCTAACCATCATACGAATCACATGTGTTTTGCCTATAATCACTCAGTAAATGTTCACTTACTATAGTTGGATCCGGTATCCCGATGTAAGCACCGCTGGGTCACGCATATGGCAGTTAATTAATTCGCTGTAAAGAATTAGAAGAGCTAACTATCGAGTATAACAATTTAGGTAACAATTTCTCCAAGGATATTATATCATAATTGTTTTAAGAAAGCGCGCTAAGTATGCCGGATATTTAGCATCGGGAAAGCGGGCGCATCAGAAGATCCACACTAATATCTATGACATTTGGAATGAATAGGAACTTGTAATGAGCAATTAACAGGCTCGACCAACACCATGATTCGACATTGCCTTCTTGTAGAATCTCTTCTCCAAAATATCATTCATATACAGATTTTCTAGAATACCGTCCCATAAGGGTAGTAGCTTCCTTGGGCTAAGCGCAGTAAACACCCTAAATATCATTATCAATGTGATCACGACAGACCATTTCGGCTACGAAGCGATTTGAAGAAAACGCTGACCACGAATCCCAGCTAGGACTCTGGTACGATGTCAGCTGACCTTTGCGCAACAAGGTTCCCTTTGGTCATTCACCAAGAACGCCACAAAATGGCTCGCAAACAGCGTCTCGATGCAGAGTGCTACAATAGTCTTTAGAAATAAGACGCTACGTTATTGAGTGAACTTACACTATCATTAGGTTGGACCTCGTCCGCGTAATAACTTCGGGGATAACATATTCTCCGCTTAATATTTAAGACAAGTTGCGGTGTATGTTCGAGCTCGGGCCTAGATGTATTTCTTTTCGTTTCATAATGTTTGGGAGCCAGCCAGTCAATGATGGAATGGCTAATGGCGATTCCGGACGTAAATCTCGAAATATATAGGTGCGACTGGAAGCCGCGTAAAGTAAATACATCTGTTGTGTATTGGAAGTATGTTTGTTTTGCCTTAGGAAATGTCCTAGAGACTAAGGTCTTCGAGAGCTTGCCGGCGACATGCGTCCCATGCAATGAGCTTTATTTCTTATGTGAGGCTGAATGGGAAGTATCGGGTTATGAGCAAATTTATTCAAAGTATTTGTAAAACATTTACACCTTTTTCTAAATCAGTGCCGACATTGTATAGAACGGCGAGTAGGTGTTCAATTGGTAGTGCATGATTATTGTTAATTTTAAACCGAGTTCGCCAGCGAATCAGCTATGCTCTTTCAAAATAATGTCTGCCTTTCAACAAGGGGCCATCCATGTCGTTGATAAACAAAACGGACGACCGTATTAAATCTAACTGACTATGTCTGCTTTTAGATATTATCAACCAGAATATTTCTTATAATATATTACTATGATTTGTTTCCTATTAGCCTAGCGACAAAGGTATACCTGGGCATTTGGGCAGAATCTGTTGTTCGGAATAACAATTATACTGATGAACGTATTTCTAGTCCTGCTTTGTGATATTTTGCTGATTACAGCAGTGATGTTCGAAGCGTAGCGAACGCCAAACTACTTTCGAATTAGAGCAACTTTGTTCATGGATTTTTTAGAATGAAACTTAGGGATTCATAATGTCCTATCTAGTAACATCAAATATTTCAAAGTTTGCAGACAGTTCACAGACTATTGCACACACTTTGCAATTACGGTATTATCTGCATTATGAAAATACTGCGTTCAACCTGGAAGTCAGTATCGAAGTTTTTCCAGCACGATCCGAAGGTTGTGCCTAACCACTAGTCTAGCGGTACCTCTATTCCGAACCTAGGTGAAAGCAATCAGCAGCTGTAAACCGATCCACTATCGTATGGAAAATCTTTGCAAAATCTAGACTCCGATAGGGCGTTGCTTCCTATCCCGGACATTCATGTGCTGGTGAGACTTTTACCGCCTTCTGCTGTACGAACTTTAATTCCGGAGTTTTAAATACAACTGACTTCGGATAGCAGTTTTACTTCAGGTTTCTGCCTGACTGACTGGGAGTGTCATCTATAAACGCTTGTATGTTCCTCGTCTGGCTATGGAAATAGCCAGAATCTAGAAAAAAAAAAAAAAAAACACTAGTTATGCTTGCTTAGTGGACTGAGCAATATTTTTTGATATCCCCATAGTTTTTGTGTTTATTTTGTATATTATATACACGTATGAATCATTAACATCTGTCTGAAATACTTGCGTGCGTGGCCTGTACGGAAACAAAGTGGATCATTTTCGCTTAACACGCAATTGAAGCACGATTGTAAATCTCGTAGTTAAACACGATCTCGTAAACAAAAAATTAACCTCAATTGCTTATAGGTGTCCCTTATACTGATAATTACGCCTCAACGATACTTGGCCGTAGTTTATTTCCTTGACAATGATAATAGAAATAAGGCAATTCGATTACGACGTAGGCAAGTTATTTCATTTTTCAGACAAAAAGCGGGCCCAAAGGTTGAAAATTGTCTTCTCTACAGTGAACAGTCGTAGTAGGACTGAAATGCTTTATCTCAATAGATAGCTTTGTTTTTTCGATCCGACCCCTTCATACAAAATGCACTTACAGAACACGAATCTAACAAGCTGATTTAAACTAATTGGTAAAATGTACTTGTATCGGATAGAATTGTCATGCAGGCAGATCGGATACCTCATTAAATTTTACGGTACAAACATCGTAGGCGTCATACACACAAGGCGAGCAATTTCATCCCGTCACGTTTTGCACACCGCTAGACGCGTCCATTTCAGGATGCTGCGGCGTTACAGAACACATAGGCTTCCGTATAACACTGTCGACGCTGACGCAAATGCTTGGCGCACATTTGAGGTCGCCATGTGCTGTTAAGCTATATTCGATAGCAGGCTGCACATGCATGTGTGGGTATATGTGTAACAGCAATTCACGTTGCCCTCTGAGTAGCGCCGGGCTTGGTCTGATATACCGTTTTACCGGCTGCGTAAAGTCGGCTTCTGTCTAAATACTTATCGGGAAGCATCGCCGGTTGGCATCAAAAATCAAGCAGAAGTCTAGAAAAAGGGTCGATCACCTGAATTAGTCTCGTTAATTATCATTATTAATTTTAAGCATTTTAATTTTTATTAATTTATCAATTAATTATTAAGTTATTTTATCTGTTATTAAAAACATTTCTAACTTGATAGGATTCGAAAGTATTAGAACGAAATATCTGCGCGACAATGATGTGGTAGAGTATTTGGCATCGTGAGTTTGAACGTCAATAGTTCGTCAAAGAGAACCGAACATGTTAGACCTTGATGGGGATTATGTACCGTTGCTTAATTAGAAAACCGATGGAAGTTGTTAGTTAGTGAAATAGATAAACGGAACAAAAAAGAGCTTCTGTTAATTTTATTGTGTCAGATATGATAGATAACTGATCAAGGGAGTGCTAGATAAAGAAGATAAATTTGATATGAATGAATTTGTGACACATGTAATGGATGTACGTCGTAAACAAAATTAAGTCCACAAGTAGCTTAGACACCAACCGTGTGTTACATGAACCGTATATACAATTTGTGTGTGTTATAAGCCAGGTAAAATTGTTATTAATTAAGGAGCTTGGTATTGCCTGTCAGTAACCTGTCAATCGTAATCGATCTTTAAAGCGAGTTTTCTTCGATCCTGGCGTCCAATAGAAGCGTGAATAAATGACAAAAACCCTGGGAATAGTAATTTCATCTAGCAAGCAATGTCATATTGGTTGGCAAGCACGCAAAAATGGACGACTTGTGTCTCTATGGTAAACCATATCTATGGCTAGGACTCGCATAATTGGTTCGGTTGAAGTAAATCTATATGTTTAAGACAAGGCCAATACACCATCAACTAGACGGAATATTCTAATGTTTAATATGACGAAATGTCTAATGACGAAAAGGTCCAATTTAGCAGTAGCAGTAAGGCTGAGCAAAACAAACCAATTTGGTAGCTTTTCCGTACCCCATAAAAATACAGGTAGACGCTTGACAACGATGTCTCGGTGTTGTGCCGGATTGCTTCTATATGATGAACCAACACGTATGAACAGATTTATCTGTAGTCTTTAATACATCGTAGATATCAGACGCAACAAGCTTCACTATAATGAAGATGTCGAAATCGAACAATAATGATATGCACAAATCTCGTTAGTTGAAATGTTTTTCTCATAGCCTTGTAGAAATACCTTAACTAAGCGTGATCGAACTCCTACAGCTGCTTTCCGTTTTCACACAGATTCAAAATCGGAAAGTTCACTCTGGCGAAAAAATTCAAACAACCTCCAACTTAATTCTTAAATGTGAAGTATCGTGTCCGACGGATAAACGTGGTTACCTGGTATTCAGGTGAACGTCCAGGGCTTAATAGCATTTCGACCTCGATATACCGACTGCCGAGCGTACTTAAATTTGCGTTCGGAGTCAGGCAGAATCTTCAAAAAAACCTATATAATAACTATATAGTTTATTTTCCCATTATTTGAATCGGTGAATGAAGTCAAGCCTTCTCCTCTTGAAGTCTATGCGAAGTCGGTGTAGAAATTCATAATGATTCAAAGTTTAAAAAAACAGTAGTGAAAATAATATAATATATATATATATATATATATATATATATATATATATATATATATATATACGTGTTTTTATATTTGGTATCGCGTTTGCATAATCACAAAAGAACATAGTCGGGATCGAGAAATCGGTTGAAAATCGCTTACGGATTATAAAAACGTCTGCTTGAATACACTCGACAAACGACATTACGGTTGGATATTATGGATGAGAGTTATATTCGAACTGAATTTGATTATGGAGTGTTACTTCCAAAGTGGGTAGATGTTTACCGTGGAATAGACATTGTTCTGATGTAGTTAACCCTGTATCCTATGGGAACGAGTTTG